AGGATTTCCAGCTGCAGCTTGATACCTTTGTTGATGAGAAACTAAAGGTATTGCTTGAACATTGCCATCTTGAAAGCTCCTTGACCCAACACCTAGCATGCTGCCAGGACCAAGATTTGGAGACGTCATATTTTCCTGGACATGATACTGCTGCATCATATGGCCTGACTCAGCAAATCTGCTGCTGGAGCTTTCTGGGACTTGATCTATGGAAACTTTCTTCCCATGGAGTCTGTTTGTAGACATCACAGTTACATTTGGCATCTGCCTCAACCGTTTCTTCCGCAGGCTACTCAGATTTAGATTAAGCTGCAAGTATGAATTGCAATAATTAATAAAATAAAACTGAATGCATTACTCCAGCAAAACATCATATCTATTGAGATATTTTTTGTTACCCGGGAGGGAAGAGGGGTAGCAGAGAGCCTATCCAATTCAGGTGTGGGATCAAGCGAAAGTATCGGCTGCAAAGCCTTCACTATCCTGGCTTCGACTTCCTACAACCACGAGTAGAAGCAAAAACTGAGACTTGATGGCTGCAGATATATTACAGGAAGTATGAAGAATGAGACCTTAACATTACCATTAGGTCGCCATAAGTCCAGGAGTTATCTGAAATCAGGGGGATATCCTTCACCACATTTTCCAATGACATCTTAAGGCGCACTCTATTCATAGTAGGAGCCCCACCAAGAGATGGCATACCAGAACCCTGCTCAGTAGCACAGTTCCGATAATCTCGCACCTGCAGAACATGTCACCATTCTGGAGACATCCATCACTGTTGGAAGTTGGAACAGACTTAAGATACCTAGGAAATACACTCACCTCGCAAACAAGAGTTCCATTGGTATACTTGCATGGTATATCATCCAGAATATCTCCAGGCAACCGGCCAGATTCAATTGCCTGCAGGTTCATATATTGGAAGACAAGAAATCAGTTAAAAGGAGACATAAAGGTGGAAAACTTCAAAAATAAAGAATGAGAACCATATGTATATACTGCAAACGGATCACTTGCCATGATGCCTAAACTAGCAAAGGTGAAATGGGTTTTACCAAAGGAATGCACAGGCCAACAATACAAGTTCTAAAAAACTTTAAATCTAGCACTAGACTGAGGCGATGTCACAAAAATAGATCTTTTCACTGAGGAAGGGAAAGCCTACTTAAAGAGAGACATGTCCACAGAGAGAAATTGGATTCCAACATAACCCAGATTTTTAACAGATAACCAACATCCAGTTCAAAAGAAACAAGAATAGAGGTGTCCTTTACCGAAAACATAGCTTCAGAGGCCCTATCATATGGATGCAACACCTTTGAAGCATCTTGAATGGGAGGCCTGCGTGCAGCATCATTCTGAAAATTCACAGGCTAATGTAAGCAAAATCAAACAAAAGGAAGATATAGCTCTTCAAAATCTGAGGAATATAGTGATAGTTTTTAATTGACACACCTCCGAGACTTTTCCAATGGAATATCCATCTCGATAGAGGTCCAACGTGAAAGCAACTTCATCCTCTGGAGAAAACATGAAACAGCAGCAAACATTCAGAATAAATGAATAGCAGCAAGACCAGCCCAGCTGATAAAGAATAGAATCAAGCGACTAGCCCAACAAATTCCATTACCGGAGATTGGTGTACTTGAGATGTCAGCTACATCCTCAGTGTCCTATATCATACACAAGTTACTATCATTAAGGGAAAATAAGAACTTGAGGTGACTGTTTATCCACATGCTCTATCATTTCAATGATTCATATGAGGAGAAAACAAAAAATGACTCAAAAACTAAAAAAATCATCTATTTGAGAAAAATGTATACATCTTTGATTTCCAAGCACTACCACCCTACAGGAGAGCACACATACAGTAGCACAAACACGAGAAATCCCTACAGTTTGCATACATTCCTTAGCCACATTTAACCAAATACCTTGACTACGTGAATTTAATAGAACTCTCCACATGGAAGCAAAAGAGACCAGTCACCTCCCGAAATCGGATATCCATCCCCCAATTCCCTTGAAACAAAGTTCAAACCTAAGCAGGAATATCCCTAGAAGAAATCTGCCTTCCGCATATAATCGAACCGAATTGCAATCAGAAGACATGCCGTTTCCATACACAGTAAGTAAAGCTCAATCCGAGAACCAGTAGCTTCAATTAAAGCAAGAGCAAAAGTGCACACCAATCAAACCGGACAATTACCTCAACCTTTCTCTTCGACGACGGATTCCGGGCGCCAATTAACGAGCCCTCCTTCGAATTTTCTGATGCCTCATTGAGAGCAACTTCATCTGGCTGAATCACAGGTTTGGGACGGAACCTTGAACCTTTCCTTGCGACCTTAAACGAAACACCCATTGGAGACTCAGTATGGACGCTTCATCCGAGGGGTTCTCGATCGCGGGAAAGTTGAAAGGAGAATTGGGGAGTAGATATTGAAGTGTGGTATGAATTGCCCAAATAATAATACTCCTGTTCAGTTCTTCAATTGAATTCAGCTAGACATGGATAGGAAGTGAGGTTCGGAGAAGCCGAGAAAATTTGAAGAACGGTCGACGGGAAGGAAAATAATGGCAGACGGAGCTGAACCGGCGAAGGCAGTTATGACTTATGGCTTACGAGTTACGACTTACGACGATTACGACGATCGGGCCTTGGTTCCTGAAACAAGAGTTGGGTCCTGGGCTTCGATTAAAAATGTTGGGCTTTTCGAGCTAAATAAGCCCAAAGGGGAGGAGCGCTTTGCACATAGGCAGAGACAATGTTTAAACTTCAAATTGACCACACTAATTTTAGTTTTACTGCCACTTAACCCTTTGCCTTTAACAGAGTACATACATTCTTCTTTGGCTATTATTGCCACTTAAAGGCAAAAATGTCTCAAATCTCAAAATCAAATCTGGAATTGGCATCAAGCCTGCAGAAGACAAGGAAATGAGCCTTTCAATCAGTCACTAAGTAGTAGCAGAGCCAAGACCACTAGATTGATTTATATGATAGTGTCTACAATTCAAATACTTTAAGGTTGCGTTTGGATACAAGGATTTGGGTTTGGTATTTGTGATTTGGATTTTCAAATACCAAATCATGTGTTTGGATATTAATTACATTTGGTATTTGGATTTGTGTCAAATTCATGGGGTGATTTCCAAATACATGTCTAGTGTATTTTTTGTCAACTCCAAATACATTTCAACAACTAGTGATTTGAAATACCTCCTAAGTCCTAACAAATGAATGGACCTATTTGTAAAATATGAAAAGTTTAGGTACTATAGTGTGAGGCAAAACATATAAAGGTACCAAAATGTAATTTTACCATCAAAATTTTAGGACCTTTTTGTAAAATTTTAAAAGTTTAGGTACTAAATTGTAAGAAAAAATAATTTTGGGTACCAAACTGTAATTTACCAAAATTTGTAGTAAGTGACCAGAAAATTAAAAATTGAATTTGAAAATCATAAATACAAAACTACAAACAAATTACAAATGAGTATCCAAACAATGAATTTGAATTACATGTATTTCAAATGCTAATACTTCAAATACATCCATTTCAAATGCTAGTATTTCAAATACCTTACATTTAAAATACACTTATCCAAACGGACCCTAATTGCTTTCATTTCTACGCTAGGAAAAATTAGATAGATTCATTTTAAACAAAGATGAAACTAAAGAGATTTGACATAGAGCATACACGAAAGCAACTTGGTATTTATATTTCAACAGCAGTGCAAGCAAACTCTTGAGACCTAAAACTTTATGCTCCGACCTTCCAAAGAACTACCACTCTAAAACCATTCCAACCAGTATCACACGGAATAAAACATAGACAGCAAGGTAAGCTGTTCATAAAAAGTTAAAAAGATGACTGCAATTAGCAATCCCCTTAATTTATTATACTATAAACAGAATTCCAATTGCAATAAAGACCTAATTGGATGTCTTTTCTCCTTATGTTTATTCGACTTTGTCCCCAACAATTCTGAAATTGTCCAGCGACAACAAAAATTCTACTAGTTTTGATTCTACCAATTGTAGTTGCAAGGGTAGAAGGAGCATTTTTTAGCTTTGAGTTATATTAATAACAAGTTTCAAAGTCGAATTGACTACCAATTTGCTAATGATTCTTTAATAGGATACATTGAAATTACTTAAGAGTGTAGAAGACGAATATTTTTGCGTTTTTCTTACAATATAAAATCATGTCGTGGTTGTTTATGAAAACAATGATTGTAGTAATCAGTTATTTTTTTTTATCTATGAATGCACTGTTTGAATATAATTAGTTTTAATTATATTTATTAAATAAATAAATATTTATATTATGAAAAGAGGTCCGAGATAATTCCGAATCGTGTCTCCGCCACTACCTCGCGTTGTCCTTCCCGCGATGATACTCAGCAGGCATCGTCGCGATCAACAAATATAATTAGCTTTATGTTCTTTTTACTTTTGTTAAAATTATGCTTTCTCATTGTGAACCCAAACTTCGACATAATTTTTTTTGGACCTTGCAGCTTGTGTACCAGATTATTGACGGCTCCCTTGCTTGTCGCTTCTCATGTGCACCTTGACCAGTTCGACGCTTATGGTAACATAATTCGACGGGTTTATCGATTGTTCAGAGTTTACATGACAAAGACCATATTGCCCACCTATCATGTTCTAGTTTCATTAGTTGTTGAGACGTATGTTTCTTTAGCTGTATTGATGTTTGTTTTATGGATGTATCGATATTTGGATCATCATCACTATTGTTATTGTATGTTTGACATTAGTACATTTGTTTCATTGATATTGTTATCGGTCGATATGGTTAGTCTTATGGACTAAAAATGCACAACCAAAACTAAAAATGAACAACCATAATCGAAAAATGCACAAACAAACTGAATATGCACACATATTGTATTAGTCCATTTGTTTGGATTTTTTTTTTTTTGAAAATCAGTTCATTTAGATTGCAAAACGGGCCAGGCCCAATCGGAAATGATACAAACAAGAGGATACTAAGAGTTAGAAGACCCAAACAAAAAAAGCACAAACCAAGAGTCTGGAACCCAATAGGGCCCGGACCACGGACCAAAACAATGTCCACATCTACAAACCCTAGCCGCCTCTTGCCTTCCTCTAGCATCCTCCACCGCCGCGGCCGAACTTCAACCGCCACCTGACTACGCATGCACCGCCCACCACCACCAGCCATCGCCACCACGCGCCAAGAGGGATTTGATTCAACCGAACTCGGATGGTGGGGAAGGAAGGAAGCCTTCCAAGCACACCACCCCGAGCCAAATCGATGTTCGCCTTCCGTCGAGCCATCACAGGGGAAATGAACAAAGCGACCGGACGGCCAGCAAAGGAACCAGAGGAACGAGATCATCTGTCTTCAAGCTCTCCAGACCGTGTCCTCGCCAACGGCTGCATCTCCGAATCACTGAGCTCTGCAAAGCGAAACAAGGAGGTAGACAAAGGAAAGAAGAGGAGAAAACAAGCTAGATCTGTGACAGATCTAGCCTCCATTTTGCATCTAAGGTCGGACACATCTCCAGATCTGAAACAACAGATCTGAGGGCAAAAGATCAACCCACTAAAGGGGAGGAAGAAATCCCAGCAACGGGAAGGAAAAGCACCAGAGAATGGCAAAAACCAGAGAAGACGAACCGACGAAAAGAGGAGAGGATGAAACAAAACAGCAGCAAGAAAAAAGGAAATGAAAGAGTAGCATAGGGCTGCCACCGCTCGCCAAAGAGACGCTGGCGACAGCCCCCAACGCTGTCTGTGAAAGGGTTTTAGAGAGTACTCAGAGAAGAAAAGAGAGGAGAGAGAAAGGTAGTGTTTACAAACTTGAAGTGTTGTACATACGGAGGGTTTAGTCCATTTGTTTGGATGCTGTCAACTGATATGGTTAGTTTTATGGGCTAAAAATGCACAACCGGAACTGAAAAATGCACTAATAATAAGCTCCTTATTTGATGGTGGTGGCAAAAGAGTATGTAACTTCTAAATTTTTTTTCTCTGTTCTAATAAGCACAACAAACCAACGATCTTTAGTAAACATAAATAGTAGAATAATTACGGTGAATTTTCGTAAAAGATTGATCGAAATTCCATGAATGATTGGGTGTAGCGAATAATTTAGGCGAAGAAGTCAGAATCCGACGAATACTCACCAACCAGCAATTGACGCGCCTCGGTCATTACCTCACTAGTTGTGTCATTTCCTCAAGCATTGACGAATACTCACAAAAAAAAAAGAGTGTGGTTGTTTTTTTTTTTTGGTGTTGTGTTGTGTTTTGATTTAGTTGTTTGGTTGATCTTTGTATTCCTTTGGAGAGAAAAACTTCCAATTGTGTTGGGTTTTAAGATATAAGAATTTACAACCTAAAGTTAAGGGGTTGTTTGCTTCATGTATTTGATATACAAATTTAATCCATCGTGTACTAAAGGGAATTCATTGTTTGCTTGGATTTCTTAGGGACCAAATTCATGAACCCACGAACTTGTAAATCCCATATACATATGTGTGAGAGTTTGAGAGATGGCCCCGTGATGATTATTTACTTTCATATCCCCATTTAAAACATAAAAATGCTTTTAAGTAAATGACAATAAGGCAATTTATATTAAAAGAAATAAATTCATAACATCTATGAACAAATCCAACAATCAAACAACCAACTTTCTCAAATCTGTAATGAATTAAATCAATCACAAAATAAAAATGTTCTAAACTTATATTTTAATCAAAATTTTCATTTTTCAGACAATTTTGTTAGAATTTAGTGCGACAAATACAATTTTTGGGAGGACGACCATTAACTCCCTTAGTCAGCAACGCCAATATTGACTAGTAACCGACATTTCCCCCTTTCAAATCTCAAACACCCATTGTTTGTTCCCCATTCCCCAATTTCCCCACCGAAGAAAAGAATCTCCATCTTGGCGCACGCAAGATGGAGATTCTACGGAAGTTTTACATGGCGCTTATCAGGGCCTTCGTTTGGCGGTTGATGGAGCCACTTCTCACCACTACTCTGGTGCCATTGGTATAGTCGGTTATACAGGAGTTGCGTCGTCCTTCGCATTCAGTTCTTTTCTCTACGGTATCTCTGACCCAGGATTGGTTGAGTTGCTCGCTATAAGGGAAGCGTTGTATTTGATTCGACGGTGGCATTGGCATGATAAGTAGGTTCTGCTTACGGGGGATGCCCAAGTGGTTATTGACAAATTAGTCTCGGGCGACTTATCTGACACTCGTGCAAGTGCTATTTTTTCTGAGGTTCATGCCTTATTATTACGGTTGCCAAAAGTCATTTTACAATTCACACCTCGAGATGCGAATCAGACTGGCCATTCAATGGCGAAACAAGCCTTACGCTTTCCTGGTTTACCACCTTTGTTGTTTGACTTTTCGTATCTGTTCTTTTGATAAGTGAGTGTGCTGATCTTTTGTAGCCACCCTTATCCTTGCCTTGTAAATCTGACAAGATTTATATGACAAAAAAAAAAAGAATCTCCATCTGCAATGACACTGGTGACCTCTGAGCAATAAAAACTCAAGCACCAACGCTTCCGAGAGGAGGACCGAGAAGTTGAAGAAAAACAAGAAAAAGACGACGACTACACTATAGGCGCCGAGCGATCGATATCCGATATTCCGATTCATCCAACCCAGACTGTTGCGATCAAACCGATTCCAGCTACAGTACTCTGGACGAGACGAATCACAAGCTCTCTGCCCTTTCCGAAAGGTAGAAGTATCGGACACGTTTGGTCACTCCATTCTTTTTTTTTCATCCAACTTTTGTTCTTATTTTTATCTTTAGTCAACATCAAATTCTGTATATATGACGAGGTGGAAAAGGTAAAGAGAACAAAAAAAGTACTAGCTTTGTGCGTGGCTCGTTGGTCTGGTGAATTTCGTATCGTATCTAATTAATCAAGTATTTCTTCATTATGGTTAAACTCTTTTTAATTTTAAGTAGTTTATGTTTTAACAATTCTTTCTTTTAATGATATTTGTGGTCTTTTAATATATGTATGATATCTAACTAAGTAATTTTTTTATTTCTCAACTGAACAACCAACATTCAATCAATAATTGTGTAGTATTAGATTTAAAGAATATACATTTCTCAATTAGACATTCAAATTATTTTTTAGCAATATTAAGTCTATTCATCTAATTTCGAGGATGGAGAATAATGTCCATTATTATTTGTGTGATATTAAGGATTGCTAATTTGCTTATGCCGGTAGCTTTCTCCCTCTTAACCTAAAGAGTAAATATTTACCCTCCATTCTAATACATGTCACACTGAATTTGAAAACTCTACTAACATTTATCATGCACACATAATGGTTCAACCTCTCTAAATTTTCAATTAAAGCACTCAAACTTGTCATATTATATTATATTATATTATATATTATATTATATATATATATATATATATATATATATATATATATATATATATATATATATATATATATATGGTGCCTTCTACGGTACCCCGGGTGAAATCCGGGGTACCGCATACCTTGAGTATGAAAACGCTATCTAGACCTCGAATTAGCAGGATTTTTGGGCATGATACTATACCCTAACTCTTAATGAGTGAACCCTGGGTCCTAATTATCTTAATCATTACCTATAAACCCTAAGATGCTGCATTACTTTTTTTGCCTATATTTGGACGAATCATAACCGTCGATTATTGTTTCTGATTAAATTGATCTTGGGGTATAAGATTTAGGGAATTAAGACCTAGATTTTGATCTTTATATGTTAGAGTATAGTATAATGTCCGAAAGATCAGTCAATTCAAGTTCTAGATAGCGTTTTCTTACTTAAGGTATGCGGTACCCCGGATTTCACCCGGGGTACCGTAGAACTCCCCATATATATAAGGTGCCTTCTACGGTACCCCGGGTGAAATCTAGGGTACCGCATACCTTAAGTACGAAAACGCTATCTAGACCTCAAATTAGCAGGATTTTCGGACATGATACTATACCCTAACCCTTAAGGAGTGAACCCTACGTCCTAATTATCTCAATCATAAACTATAAACCCTAAGATGGTGCATTGATTTTTTTCCTATATTTGGACGAATCATAACCGTCGATTATTGTTTCTAATTAAATTAATCTTGGGGTATAATATTTAGAGAATTAAGACCTAGATTTTGATCTTTAAGAGTTAGAGTATAGTATCATGTCCGAAATATCAATCAATTCAAGTTCTGGATAGCGTTTTCTTACTCCTGGTATGCGGTACCCCGGATTTCACCCAGGATACCATAGAACTCCCCATACATATATATATATATATATATGAATTAATTAGTGCTGATTGTGAATATCTATCATTTGAATGTAACATGCATATATATGTTAATGAATATTTATAATTTAATATATTTAATTTTGTTTATGTTTTTACCATATAGTTTATCAATATATATGATATAATTTTGTTTAATATGACTGTACTTCTATTAAAAATATAGAAAAGAATGTTTCAATAATCTACTCATGATAATTCAAGAATGAACAATCACTTCATCTTAATCCACCAACTATATAAAGCATTTTTAAGAATAGCTTTCTCACCATTTCAAAATCCCTAGACGGAGAGGGTTTTGCGGAGGGTTAGAATGGTACTTCCTCATTATTGGTAACGTTGTGTTTCAATTATGCAATTCCCCTCCCCTCGGTGGTTACCATCCATTTCATTTCCGCTCATTGGATCGGATCAAACTTGACCTAGGGAGATGAAGTGGTCAACCGCCAATGGGCCACTATCGTTCCAATTGAACTATTCGGCATTTTGTCCACCCCAATATATACTCGAGCGTCTCCCCAAAACCTCATTTTTGTGGATTACAGATCTTTGCAAAATGCAAAAGAAGGAAATCCAGATTGCTTTCTCCATTATATTTCTTGCAATCTTCTAACATTAAAGTTCAGGGTCCATGGCCGCAGGTTGGTTGGGTGGTCGAAGTTGGAGCTAAAGAAACATGCTTTGATTGTGTGATCTGTATTCCAAGGTTAACATATGTGTGGTTAACTGGTTATACGTTTACTTTGACTACATGTTCGTCTAGGTTGATCTAATAGTGATTATTTGAAAAATACGAAATATTTATAATTTACTAAAAGGTTTATATGTATCGCCATTTCAAATATCGATATTAGATAGAGTAGCAAACACGAGTTTGATCTATTGGTACAATACAAGTCTTCAATCTGCATATCTCAGATACAAATATTTTAAGTAGCACATAATGATAAAAATAAATCTATATCACCTTTTCTAGAAAAATTCAATATGGGAATAGAGTACCTTCAATTTTTGGTATATTATCAAGGTAAGTAGGTAATCATCACTTCTCTTAAAAAATATTTAATTCTCTATCACGAAGTATCATACAAAACATAAATTATTGAATTCTCACCTACCAAATTAAGTTCTTCAGGCCAACGGGCCGAACCCTAATCTAGTTAGAACTACGGTTATTTTTGTTGGTAAGGAACCTCTTTCATTTAGTTAATCACTTTACAGAAACTTTATCGTAACTGTTACTTATGCCTGAGGTAGGAAAAATAATTATTGTTTGTTTCGTAAGGTGGATTGATTGTTCATAGTTTTATTTATACAAATGAAAAAAATAGAGCGTTGTTTATTAGATACCTTCATTCCCAAAAATGTACGAAAATAATTCAACCTCAACTATCTACTCCACAAAATTTACTTAAAATTGTGTCCATGAAAAACTGTATGTTCGAAGTTAAAATAAAACGCAGGACTCGATTAACTCTTTTATGGTCCAAGACTTGGTAATTCATATAGCGAATGAGATAAAATTAGTGAGTGGAGTTTTTGATTCGTCATGGGAGATGTTAAAACAGACGACAACTTTTCCGGGGAAGAGAAAACTAATAATGCTAAAAATAGAAAAATATACATATTTTTTGGAATTTGGATGGAAACGCTTAAAAAGGAGAGGAAAAAAGGGAGAGAAAGCTTGACATAGTTTTGGATTCGGTGTATCCAACTAAGCCTTAATGGCTTGTTTAAGTCCATTTGGTGGAGCTTAGATGTCCTACAGTGGGGACGCTTGTGTGTTTTGTTTGTTTTTTTTTTGTAGGGGCACGCAGAAGAGCTCCCGATATCGGAGAGACTTCCTCAGACAGGTGACTTGGCTCATGATCAGGATGGAACTATCTTGCAGGATGCTCAGAGCTTGACTTTTCTCTTTAGTTGGATTTCTTACTGTTTTGTTCTTCGCTGTCTCAATAGGGCTGCCCATCTTGTGGCATAAAAGGCCCTCTCATCGGGAGTTCGACTATTGGTCGACTCCCGCGCTCTTTTTATTTTCTCTGTATGACTGATTTTATAACAACTGACTTTGCGAAAAAAAAAAAAAAAAAAAAAGGGAGAGAAACGCCTAACTGTCCATTTGGGCTTACGTGGCATAGACCATCTTTTCAAAGCCTATTAATTTAACTAGCTTTAACCCCTGCCCTTTGGGCAGGTAGATTTTTCGTTTATCATGTATATGTATAATCTCCTTATTAAAATAATAATTTTCTGAAGTTAAAAAAAAAAATATATGTAAAAAATATCAAATAGAGTTTTAAAAGTTTTTACTCCCTTCCAAAATTTAGCTCCCTCAGAAACCCAAGAAATAGAGTGGAAAACATGCATCTCAATTTTCAGTTGAAAGGAATAGTGGAAGGTACATCCATCTTAATGACGTCAGAGAAAAATCTTGTGAGCGTCACGTCGCCTTATAGCTTAAACTCAGGTAATCTATGAGAAAAAACTGCATACAACGCTTAATCATATCACCTAGAGTTAGGGTACTTAACGGTCTGAGCTAGCGAGTGAAAATCCAACTGTAGGGAATTAGAAATCTCGAAGGAACAAAATTGAGTTCTAAATGAAAATGTCGCAATAGAAAATTTGTTGAATGATGTGAATAAGCGAGATGATGTTCATGAGGAAAAATCTCGAGAGAATAGAAAGGTTCTATAGTTATGGAGATAGACAAAATTTTGTTTACGTTAAAATGAAATAAACTCAAAACTCATAATCATTTTTATAGAAATATTGAATTGCGTTAAAACAAATATCTATTACAATAATTAAAAGAAAAAAATATTATTATTTGAATGAGTAAATAATTATAATTACTAAAAAAGATATTACGGTTAACTAATCATCATAATTAATAATAAATTATGCAACAATTTCTCTCTCCTCTCCCAAGAAGCCTGTGGGAGAAGAATTCTCAAGTGAGAGAAGCAAATAGTGGGCAATTAGCCAACGAAGAAGAGAATAAATGAAAAAAAGAAGAAAAAAAAAAAGAATAGAGATCAAAGAAACTGCCTGCAATAGGAAAATATTAAAAAAATAATAAAAATTCAGCATTCACCGAAACTCGCGGAGAAGCTGTGAAGGCTGACGTGGTGGAGGTCCGTTTTCCAAACTGCTTTAATATTTTTTTAAAGATAAAGATATATTTCAAGCATTATCATTATATCAAGAACGGAAAAAATGATAAGGAAACATGTGTGAAAAAATATTTAGGGTCGTTTGGAGAACGGGATTTAGGGTGTGGTTACTTACACTTAACTTATGAATGAATCACTAAAGAGAAATAGCTAGAACTTGGAATTAAACAACTAGGATTGGTTGTTTAGAAGAGATTCAAGTTCCCTAAGTAGATAGAACATATGGTTTGCGCAATTAGTTCTTGGTGTTTTTGCTAGACCCTACTAGGTATATGATATGTGTGTGTTACTTGCACCTAATATACATTCTCTTGATGTAGGTGAAAAAGGAAGGCAGATCAGAGAGCTTGCATTGGTTGTTTAGAGGATATTGAAGTTCTCTGAGATGTCTAAACGTAGTACACATTCTCAGAAAGGAGTAATGGAAAAGGGGGAGTCGTCTAAGGCAAAAAACCTTGCAGTGATTCAAGTAAAGAATCGTGGAAAACCAGAGAAGAATTGGGCTGATGATCGAATATTCAGAACAAAAATCAGGGCGCAAGTCACAAGTATTATACTAATAGTAATAACTAAAATGATTGAATTGTATACTACAAGATGTATTCATTTTCTGTTTGTCTATCTTTCAGATGTATGCTGGGCAATATCCATCGCTGCAGCACTGGAAGGATGGATCAATATTATTGAAAACCGGAAACACACGGTTAAGGAGGATACAAGGGTCAAGGCATTTGCTCAAGAGCTAATCGATTTTTTCCTAACCGAGGAGCAGAAGCTCTTGGATAGGCCATTGAGCAGAATGCGTGCTGTTTGGGGGACCATTAAGAAATCCGGGGTTTGCCGAACCAAAGACTATCCATGGGCTGGGATGGATGATCTTACTTTCCTTTCTGTTTCTTTTATTTTCATTTGTGTCTCTCTAACAATGATTAATCACACATATATAATCATATGTTCACAGTTTTATCTACCAATTAATTAATTTCTCATGCGATTTCATAAATTCAAATTAACGAATCACTTAATATCATCAATTCTTATTTGTGTTCAAAATTTTGTGATTATTTAGATGAAAGAATTCCTCGTATTTTAATTTTTGAACACAAATAAGGTGATAAAGACAAATACTATTCCATAATCTATTTTACCAAACATTTTTCGGTTGATAACTATTGGGTTTGTTTGTTTTCAAGTAATTTGGGGTTGGTTTTGGAGAAAGAGATCGAGGATTAAAACATTTTTAAATAAATAAGAAACAAAGGAGGAAGAGAGCAAACTAACCAATTTCCTAACCAAGGATCGCTTCAAATGGGGAGCTCAGGCTGCTCCTCAAGAAAGGTCATCTTCTTTGCTTCAGAATTAAACCTCTTCAGTCGTTTCTGCCGATGTACGAAAACTTGCAACAATTTGCAGCTTTCCCAGGAAATGGATGATGAGGTGAAGGAGCTAGCCTTTTTTTTTCTCAATCCATTTCTTTTCTTGGTAATTCTGTCAAGCCATTTTTTATTTCTCTATAGAAAAATTCCTTCCTTCCCCTTTTTCATTAAGGGGTAGTTTGGAGAATATGAGTTTAAATTTATGGATTGTCAACAATATAAAGATTCTAAGTCTTTAGATTGTTGAAAATAGATTCTAAAATGTTTATTGTTTGGTAACTGTGATTGTTAGCATTCAATGAAAATAAAAAAATAATTTTATATTAAATAACATGTTTATCATTAATAAAAAATTAGAGTGATTCGAGAAATATTAAAAAATTTGTTGATAAATATATTTAATACGATAAATAAATAAATAAAAGAAAGTGAAAAAGTAGGAGAAAAAACTCTCACGAATCAAGATATAGAATCTCTCTGATTATGAGAGATTTGATATCTGTAGATTTTAGAGATTTGAAATCTCTAAAGCTCAAATCCACAATAGAAAAAAAAAACATAACTTTTGACAAAATCTATGGATTCAATGAATCACACCCTAAATCCCGTTCTCCAAACGACCCTAAATGTTTTTTAACACACGTTTCCTTATCATTTTTTTCCGTTCCCTGATATAATGATAATGCTTGAAATATATCTTTATCTTTAAAAAATATTAAAGCAGTTTGGAAAACGGACCCCCACCACGTCAGCCTTCACGGCTTCTCCGCGAGTTCCGGTGGATGCTGAATTTTTATTATTATTTTAATATTTTCCTATTTCCGGCAGTTTCTTTGATCTCTATTATTTTTTTTTCATTTTTTTTTTCATTTATTCTCTTCTTCGTTGGCTAACTGCCCACTATTTGCTTCTCTCACTTGAGAATTCTTCTCCCACAGACTTCTTAGGAGAGGAGAGAGAAATTGTTGCATAATTTATTATTAGTTATGATGATTAGTTAACCGTAATATCTTTTTTAGTAATTATAATTATTTACTCATTCAAATAATAATATTTTTTTCTTTTAATTATTGTAATAAATATTCAATCTTTCTATTTTTTATTCTATTTTTTTGTGTTTTCTTGTAATTTTACTTTTATACCTTTGTTGTTACAATAACAACAAAATGGGTGTTGTTATTCTATCCGACCCCCGATTCGACGACCCTCTTAGGATTTTCAAGTCAAGGGTTGCGGTCTGGGGAGCTCAGGTCAGGGAAGGAACAATATGGGGGAAATCGCAAAGGGATATATCCAATCAGAGCATGAAATTCTTTGCACTATACAAGTGTTAATTTAATGACCGCGGGCCATTTAGAAGGAATCCAATTCCGGCAGTTCGACATTTCGGTCCATTGGACTTCACTATGTATGTGGACTCCTTCTAAGTTGTAAGCTTGTTTAGTTTAGTGATTGTAATGATGTTGGAAGGCAAAATACACTTCCATAGTCACAATTACGTTTGTAATAAATATAGCCATAACTATCGAAATACATAAAATAGTCAAAATTTTGAAAGTTATATGACAAATCTAGCCATTTCCATTACAAACGTTAACGCTGTTAGCGACTCCGTCAATTAAGTTAACATTAGGCTGACTAGTATGCCAAATCATCGCACACGTCAGCGACAAATCAACCACATTTGCCACATATTGACACGTAAGTGGCACACAAGGTTGTCAAACCGGTTTATGCCAGTGTGTCGGTTTAACAAGTGGAATTGTTTAAACGGTGGCACATATCGGTTTGTTCCGGTTCATGCCGGTCAATATTACAAATATAAATACTCATATTTAAACATGATATTTAACGTCAATACCTAAACATTTATACTTGAATCCAACAAATAACATCAATATTTAGCTTTTATACTCATAAAATAAATAATAAAATAATTTTTATCAATTAAATTCACTAAATTAAGGTCATTTTACTTAGAGATTCGTATATCGATCATGCTGGTTTTACAACTTGTGGCACGCCGGCGGGCGTGACAACCATGGTGTCACATCATATTTTACTTAAAAATAAGTAAATAAAATTCAAGCACTCCTCTCCGTTCCGACTAACCTCTCTTCCTCACCACCTCCACCGTCACTGTCAGGGGCGGAGCTAGGATTTTGAATTCGGGGGGGGGGGGGGGGGCGAAAATGTTCCATATAATATTAATGCAACTAGACAAAAAAACCAAAATAATTATATAACTATATGAACAAATTAAAATGTACGATGTTTTGTCAAATAATTAGATTGGTTCAAGATGTAATGTATTATGATATCTTCAATAAAAATGAGTAAAATATCAACAAATATTTGTTCAATTTGTAGCAAGCTATTTAATATTTTATTTTTAAACGAAAATTAGCATTTATGTTTAAAAAAGTATCTAAAATTTTAATTTGATAAATTAAGAAAGTCATTAAGTTGAAATTTAAGTGATTAAGAAATCAAAGTATAAATTTTAAATAATTAGATTGATTTTCCATCAAAATTATTGTTAAACTTATCGGAGCAAATTTATCACTAAAATAATTTGAACAACTTAAATTTCAAACTTGCGAAACTAAAATATGTACAGTTAAGAAACTAAATTAACTTTACATCAAGACTATAACTAATAACCGCAAATTAAGAATATGTGAAAAAATGAGATAAAACGTTAAAACTCCAACCAAATCAGATATCCAAAAAACTAAAGTTAGTGGGCATCAAACCCATGACTAGTAGGTTATAACAAGTGTGCAACTCCGCTAGGGTAAGTGGCTTCATTTGTACATTGTTGCACGGATCTTGTAATTACTTTAGTACGTTAATTACTACGTAATTTTTGAATACCCGAACATTCATTCGTGATATTCAAAATTCTCGGGGGGCCGGTGCCCCTCCCAGGCCCTGTGTAGCTTCGCCCCTGCGTCACTGCCCCCATCATCTGGTTCCTCCGGAACCCTTTTCGCCATCCCTTTCAGCTAAATATTCGCCGCCTCAAAAGCACTCATCTTCTCTTCTGGCCTTTGGTTCACCTCTTTTTGTCCAATCCACTCAAATTTGGGCAAATTAAACAAGGGAAATTTGTCATCAAAAGGGTTGCTCTCCTCTGCTTCACCTCTTCGCCATCTGCGCCGGATCGAAACAACAAATCGAGGTCGGAGTCCTGTGGTTGTTCATCCTCTGCCGCCTTGTCACCCCTGGGAGCTGTGGATTGACTTGGCAAAGGAGATTTACAAGAGACGAAGAAAGGGAGAAGAGAGGAAGAGGGAAGAACTGAGAAAGGAGAGAGAGTTTAGAGAGAGAAGGGAAAGAGAAGTTTGTTATTATCTTAGAATTGGTTACAACGGTCTACTCGCCTCCCCTTTATACAACTTTGAAAATATCTACTTCGCTCCCTCAAACTACAATTCCCATTTACATCACTACTTCTGGTTATTTACACTTAAGGCCTGTTCGTTACAATTCCCCACTCCTTTGCAAACAGCTTGTCCTCAAGCTGGAAAATCAGGGAAACGCTGCTGGAACTCGACCAAAAACTCCCAAGTTGCGTCCTCCTTGCTTGATGTGACCAATGCCCTAGTACTTGAGTCACAGGCTTGTTGTCCTTGGCTACTACTCGATGAGCCAAAATAGCCACTGGAGCAAGCTTCATACTACCCTGCTCATCCAACTCTGGTAAACTGGGCTGCACCTGACTCCTTACTCTAGCCTTCTTCAACAACGAAACATGAAAAACCGGATGAATGGTCGATCCAGCTGGAAGTTGAAGTCGATAAGCAACAGCTCCAACCTTCTTTGTAATGGAAAAAGGACCAAAATACTTAGGACCCAGCTTCTGGTTTAGTCTGCTAGCCACTATCGACTGTCGATAAGGACGAAGCTTAAGAAACACCAACTCCCCTTCCTGAAATTCCCTCTCCGTCCTATGAGCGTCTGCCATCTGCTTCTGCTTGGTCTGAGCACTAGCCAGATTATCCCTCAACATCCCAATCAAACGATGTTGTTGTTGTAATCTATCAGCCACAGCAGCAACCGAAGTGGATAAAGGGTTCTGAATGGAAAACTGGGACGGTGAATACCCATACAAAGCTTCAAACGGGGACAACTGAAGACTGCTATGAAAGTTGGTATTGTACCACCATTCTGCCAATGAAAGCCACACTGACCACTGCTTAGGATTCAAATGAACCATACCCCTCAAATAATCCTCTAAACACATGTTTACCCTCTCTGTTTGGCCATCTGTCTGGGAGTGGTAAGCAGTGGAATAATGCATATTCACCCCTTGTAACTCAAAGAGTTTAGACCAAAATGTACTAGTGAAAATAGCATCCCTATCCGATACAATTGTAGTAGGCAGCCCATGGAGCTTAAACACCCCATCAAAGAAAATCTGAGACACTGTAACTGCTGTGTAAGGCTTGGTAAGGCAGAAAAAATAACCATACCTGGAGAAACGGTCCACAACTACCAAGATAGCTTCTTTACCAAGAGAGTTGGGCAACCCCTCTATAAAATCCATGGAAATGTGCTGCCAGGCTTGTTCCGGAATGGGTAGTGGTTGCAGCAAACCAGGATAAGGGACATTTTCAGCCTTACACTGCTGACAAACAACACAGTGTTGAATATACAATTTCATATCAGTTTTCAAACCTGGCCACCAAAAATAATGCTTGAGGCGTTGATAGCTAGCTTGTATCCCAGAATGACCCCCTATGGGAGAATCATGGAACAGTTGCAGTAACTGATCCCTCATATTACCTGTCGATCCTACAAATATGACAGACGTATGATACAACAAGCCTTGCTGGAAATTGTATAACTTGGGCCCTATCAGAGGCACAGAAGCTTCAGTAATCAATACCTGAGCCACCTGATCCCCCTACATAAGTACCTTCCAGCTCTGCTAGCCATGTAGGTAAGACTGTTGTAATAGCTTGGCACTTGCCAAATGAGTCAGAAGCAA